TTGACTGTAGGGTTTAGGGTTTAGGGTTTAGGGTTTTGGGGTGTCTGTTGTACACCAGATATTGAGAACGACGTTATTATAGAATCGAGAGACAGCAGTTTGCTGCCTTCATTGTCTCTAGAAGGAGTAATAGGCGGGGTCTCAACTTTGCTAGGGGGCCCCCAGCAGCAAGGCGAGAACAGGGGTGCAGCAGCAGCAGCAGCAGCAACAACAGCAGCAGCAGCAGGCGGCATACAAACCCCAGCCCCAGCAATTTCTATCAACAGGTGCTGCCCTATTTGTATGGTGGACTTAAACAATGAAGACGTCGTCCTTATCATGCCCTGCGATATCAGGTAGGGTTTAGGGTTTAGGGTTTAGGGTCGAGGATTTAGTGTTTAGGGCTAGGGTTTAGGATCGAGGGTTTAGGTTTAGGGTTTAGGGTTTAGGGATAGGGCTATGGGTTTGATGGTTAGGGTTTGGGGTTTAGGGTTTGTTCAGACAACGAGGGTTTAGGGTCTGCGTCTGTCTAAAGCACTTAGGGTTTAGGGTTTAGGGTTTACGTCTGTCAGAAGCACTTAGGGTTTAGGGTTTAGGGTTTGCGTCTGTCTCAGGCATTACTTCCACCGCGCCTGTGTGGAGCACTGGCTCGAGACCAGCCAGGCCTGGTAAGTCATTAGGGTTTAGGGTTTAGGGTTTGCGTTGTGGGGCTGCTGCTGCCTCAAACCACTTGCGACGCACGCTTAGGGTTTAGGGTTTAGGGTTTAGGGTTTCTGTTGTGGGCGGTTGTTGCCATAGAAAAGTGCCTGCGATGCTCGCCTACGCCTTGGGGTTTAGGGTTTAGGGTTTAGGGTTTGCGTTTTGCTGCAGCCCAATATGCCGGGCGAACATAGTGCGACTGATAATGGGGGCAGCGGATGGTCAGCAGCAGCGGGATAGAGGAACGGCTATTGAAATGCAAGTTTAGGGTTTAGGGTTTAGGGTTTAGGGTTTAGCTAGGGTTTAGGGGTTAGGGTTTTGCTACGGTCTCGTCAGGGGCACAAGGACAGCAGCAGCTGCAGCAGCAGCAGCAGCAGCAGATGCTGCAGCAGCGCGTAGTAGCAATCTTTGCTGCTCGAGTTGGCTTTGTTTAGCAGCAGCAGCAGCAACATTTGCGGCTGCGGCTGCTGCTGCAACAGCAGCAGCATCACCGCGTAGCACTCTTTGTTGCACGAACTGGTTCTGCTGCAGCGGCAGCTGCAGCAGCAGCTGCAGCAGCACCAGCAGCTGCAGCAGCTGCCGCATTACTTGTAGCAGTTATATCTGCTGCAGCAAAATGCGGCGTATAGATACTGCTGCAGCAGAGACTCTGCGTGTGGGTATTTGAATTAAAAGGAGAGACAGTTGAGGTGTATATACACCTCAATGCATGCAATGACATTTGTAAACAATAAACAACCCGCGGCAAACAAAACCACAAAAAAAAACAACAGACACATACACTACAAACTCCCATGCTGCTGCTGCTGCTGCTGCTGCTGCTTGCTGCTGCTGCTGCTGCTGCTGCTGCTTTTTGTCTGGAGGCCCTGTACAAACTGAAGCCTCTTGACGACCGCCAGTGGCAGCAATAACAAAAACACCGGCGACAGCAGCAGCAGCAGCAAAAGAAAGTCCCTGCAGCTGCAACAGCAGCAGCTGCAGCAGCAGCTGCAGCAGCAGCTGCTGCTGCTGATGCTGCTGGTTTCTAGCTTATTGCAACAAAAAGTGAAAGGCAGTCTCACAAGACGTGAGGAGGAGACAAAGAAAAACTCCCTGGCCTTGTATATCCCCTCCACGTGCTGCTGCTGCTGCTGTTGCTGCTGCTTCTGTTGTAGCTGTGCTGGTCAACGAGCTGCTGCTGCTGCCGCAGGTGCAGCAGAGTAGCGGTATTTGGTTTAATCAGCAGCAAAAAATGCTGAGGTGCTGCTGCTCTTCCCTATATATTTAAACTGTATGGGCCTGTACACTGCAGGCATTCCCGCTGCGGCTGCTGCTGCTGCTGCTGCTGCTGCTGCTGCTGCTGCACGGGGGCGTCAGCGAGCTGCAGCTGCTTCATGCATAAACGCAAGCAGCTGCTGCGCCTCTTCTGGGGCACACCGCAGCAGCAGCTCCTCCACGAAGTCCCTGCAGCATAACATAAATCAACTCCGGGTGTATATACACCACAAAGAGCAGCAGGTCGTCGAGCAAGTGCAGCAGCATCACCAGAAGCTAGTGCTGCTGCTGCTTCTGCTGCTGCAGCACCACTGTCACGAGCAGCAGCAGCAGCACAAAGACTAGCAGCAGCAGCAACACAAACACAACCACTAGCAGCAGCCGCAGCAGCAGCAGCACAACCAGCAACAGCAGCAGCAGCAACAGCAACAGCAGCAGCAGCAGCAGAATGCGCACCAGCTGCTCCACTTGGTGGGATGATACTCTTTATATTTTGTTTGTGAGAGGAACAGCGTCATTTGTTTATAAAAAGACAACCGATGTCTCTCCTGAAGAGAGGCGCTAGCCAGCTGTCTAGACACCTCGCGAGACTCCAACGCAGCCTCCAACCCTGCAGCAGCAGCAGCAGCAGCAGCAACAGCAGCAGCAGCAACAGCAGCAACAGCAGCAGCAACAGCAGCAGCAGAACGGGATATGATGTTGTCTTGTATCACATTCCGAAATCAATCGAATAGATAAAAAGCTAACTTCTCAGAACGCCTGCTGCTGCTGCTGCTGCTGCTGCTGTTTGCTGCTGCTGTTTGCTGCTGCTGCTGCTGCTGCTGTTACCTGGAGGTCTCTCCCTGTAGAAGTGCCAGCAGAGGCCGACGTCGCTCCTAAATTCAATTGAAAGAAATCCGACAGAAGTGAAGCAGCTGCTGCTCCTTCGCTGCTGCTGCTGCTGCTGCTGCTGCTGCTGCTGCTGCTGCTGCTGCTGCTGCTCTTCTTGGCATTCTTCGAATCTAGCAGCAGCAGCAGCAGGAACCTGCTGCAACTCCAGCACGAGGACCGGGAGCGTGCTGTACTTCAGCTGTATTGCCTCTGCGGATGTAAGTGCTGCTGTTGCTGTTGCTGCTGCTGCAGGTGCTGCTGCTGCTGCTGCTGCTGCTGCTGTTGCTCGTTGCCGCGGCAGCAAAGACACCCCACCAGACCCTAAAATACCACCGAGGCATCGAGCAGCAGCAGCAGCAAATTCTGCAGCAGGGAGAAGCGCTGCACGGCTGCAAACGAAAACCAGCAGCAGCAACAACAGCAGCAGCAGCTGCAGCAGCAGCCCAATGCAGCCCATGAGCCAAAGAATCTCAACCGCAGCAGCAGCAGCAACAGCAGAAAATAAGCAGGAGGAGCAGCAACAACAGTACAAGGTAAAGGAACGGCACCAGCAGCAGCAGGAACAGCAGCAGCAGCAGCAGCAGCAGCAGCAACACGAAACACTTACTTGAGGTCTTCGGCCCTGAAGAGACAAAGGTAGACGGAGCTAACTGCAAGCCTGAACGGGAAGTCGTTGCTGCAGCTGCTGCTGCTGCTGCTGGTTCGCTTCCACCAGGCAGTAAGTGCTGCAGCCTCTCTAGACCTTGCCTGCGCTTCCGCTGCTGCTGCTGCTGCTGCTGCTGTTGCTTCTGCGGTTGCGTCTGCTGCTGCTTCTACATCTGCCTCGCTATCGATGCTGCCGCAGCTCTCTGCTGCTGTCCCTATTCGCTGCAAGTGCTGCAGCTGGCCCTCCCTGCTGCTGCTGCTCATGCTGATGCTGCTGCTCCCATCTGCTGCTGCTGCAGCAGCTGCAGCAGCAGCAGCAGCAGCAGAAGCGCGATGGCTGCGCGGATGCATGAGGCGAGAGACAACTCCCTTAATGAGAATATTCAGCTGCCTCCTCTTGGGCCTTGGAAGCGCGCTGCTGCTGCTGCTGCTGCTGCTGCGACTCATGTTGCTGCTTGCTGCATCAGGATCGTGCTGCTGCTGCTGTTGCTGCTGTTGCAGCAGCGATTTCTCCCGTTGTTGCTGCTGCTCCTCAGAAGATGCAGCAGAAACAAAGGAGTCGCGTCGCTGGGCCTCTGCAGCGTGTTGCTGCTGCAGCAACGGCTGCTGCTGCTGCTCCTCCTCCTCCTCCTCCTGCTCCTCCTCCTCAGCAGCAGAAGCAGCAGCAGGAACAGCAGAAAAGTCCTCCCGCTGCAGCAGCTCCAGAAACAGCAGCATATCGGCAGCATCTGCTGTCGGTCGCCCCACAGGGATCACTCGCGAAGGCCATCCAGGGAAACGACAAGCCCTGTAGCAGCAGCAGCAGCAGCAGCAGCAGCAAGAGCAGCAGCAACAGGATCAGCAGACGCAGCAACAACGGCACACCAAACAGTAGAAACAAATATGCATGCAAGGAAATGAATATCGAGGGGCAGAATGAGCAGCGCTGCTGTGCTGCAGTCGTTGCTTCTGCGGCTGTTGCTGCTGCTGCTGCTGCTGCTGTTGCTGCTGTTGCTGCTGCTGCTGCTGCTGCTGCTACTTGGAGGTGTATGTACACTTACGCCTTGAGGATGAGGCGACAGAAGTCGCGGCAATTCCAGCCAACAACGCGGTAGCTGCGGTCTCGTACGCTGAGCAGCAGCTGCAGCAGCGCTGCAGCAGGAAGATACACGACCTGCTGCTGCTGCTGCTGCTGCTGCTGCCTCCTCTGCAACAACTTGCTGCTGCTTCTACTCCGAAGTACAGGCCCCGCATGGCTTTGGTACTCCGCCGGGGTGGTGATAACGTTCGTTGCTGCTCGTGCTGCTCTCCACCCGCTGCTGCTGCTGCTGCTGCTGGCTTCATAAACAGCAATCTTGCATGCAGAGGGTTTAAGAGGAGGAAAGGAGACAGAAAAACCCCACACGTAGCGGCCCCCAGGGACATCTCCAAAGAAGTCCAATGCGAGGTAGCCACTGACGCTGCTGCTGCTGCTGCTGCTGCTGCTGCTGCCTGCTGCTGCCCTTTCCTCTGCTGCTGCTGCTGCTGCTGCTGCTGTGTGTTTGAATTCTAATATAATCTGCTGGTGAGAGAAAGTGCTGCTGCTAAGCAAAAGACCGCCAGCTGCCCCCAAAGGATTCTCCATGCGGTGCATTACAACGCAAATCCGCATGCAGTCTCCTAGCTGCTGCTCGCTGCTGCTGCTGCTGCTGCTGCTGCTGCTGCTGCTGCTGCTGCTGCTGCTGTGTGTTCGCTGCATCAGCCACTGCAGCAGGTCCTGCATCCCCCTAACAGCACATGCAGGTGCAGTTGCTGAGCTGCAGCAGTCTACCCCAATCTGTCGCAGCAGCAACTGCTGCTGCTGCTGCTGCTGCTGGTCATTGTTGGTCTCTGTCTCCAGAGGCAACTCCTCAACATCGTCCAGGGCTCCAGAGTTTTCTGCTGCTGCTGCTGCATCTGCTGCTGCTGCATCTGCTGCTGCTGCTGCTGCATCTGCTGCTGCTGCTGCTGCATCTGCTGCTGCTGCTGCATCTGCTGCTGCAGCTGCATCTGCTGCTGCTGCTACTGCGTCTCCTGCTGCCGCATCTGCTGCTGCAGTTGCGTCTGCTGCTGCTGCAGTTGCGTCTGCTGCTGCTTCTGCTGCGTCTGCTGCTGCTGCAGTTGCGTCTGCTGCTGCTGCAGCTGCCGCAGCAGGATATTCTGTGATTGCTGCGAAGTGACCAGCGTGTTCATGGGGTTGGCATACGAAACCTCTGCTGCTGCTGCTGCTGCTGCTGCTATTGCTGCTGCTGCTGCTGCTGCTGCTACTGCTGCTGCCGTACCGGGTGTTCTCAGGCAATTCATCATCGGTTCGCCTGCTGGTGCTGCTGCTGCTTTCGCAAGTGGTATAACCCGCAGTTGTTGGTTTGCTGCTGCTGCTGCTGTTGCTGCTGCTGTCTACAGAACGCCACCGTCGCTCTCTTTGCTGCTGCTTGCAGCGCTGCTTCGTGTGGCTGCTGCTCCAAGCGGAGACAGGGCCCGCCCACCCACAGGCGCTGCAGTAAACAGGGAGCAGCAAGTACTGCAGCAACAGCAGCAGCAACAGCAGCAGCAGCAAAAGAGAAGAAGACATGCATTGATGTGCAGCTGCAGCAGCAGCAGTTTAAAGCTGCTGCTTTTGCTTTTCATGGTGGAGACAGAGAAAATAAACAGAGAAGAATAATAAAACAGAGAGAGACAAAGAAGAGACAGCAGCAAACCCAAGGAGACAGCAGCAAACAAAGGAGACAAAGACATAACGGAGACAAAAAAAAATTAAATAAAAGAGACAGACAAAGACAAAAGGAGACAGAAGCAAAGACAAAAAGATAAAGAAACAAAAATAATATGAAAGGAGACAAAAGGAGACAAAAAGATAAAAAGCAAAGGGAGACAAAAGAGACAAACGACGAGAACCACCAAAGACAAAAGGAGACAAATAAAACAGAAAAAGAGACAAATAAAGACAAAAGGAGACAGACAACACATACGTGCAGCAGCAGATCAACAAGACCTTCGTCCTCAGCCTCTTCCAGGGGCTTCACGTTCTTCATATACAGTGCCCTGCAGCAGCAGCAGCAGCAGCAGCAGCAGCAGCAGCAGCAGCAGTAGAAGCGGCGGCAGCGAATAAGGCAGCAAATGAGGCAGAAGCAGCACCCAGCAAAGCAGCAACAGCAGCGGCAACGCGCTTGTCTTTCACGAGACAGCAGCAGCACACAATGCAGTAGCAGCAGCGATAGCAGCAACAGCAGCAGCAGCACCTAAGGTAGCAGCGGCAGCAGCGACGCCAGCAGAAGCAGCAACAGTAGCGACAACAGCACATGCAACAGTAAAAGCAGCAGCAGCAGCAGTAACAGCAGTAGCAGCACCAGCGACGGCGGTACCAGTAGTAGTAACAGCAGCAGCAGCAGCAGCAGCAGCCGCAGTGATAGCAGCAGCAGTGATAACAGCAAAAGCAGCACCAGCAGCAACTAGCAACAGCGGCAATTAGCAACAGCAGCAACAGCAACAGCAGCAACAGCAGCAACAGCAGCAGGCGTGCCTTACCGTCTGCAAAGGGGACAGAAGCTCGCCTTTGAGAGTACAGCGAGGAGACAGTCTCCACAGAAGACATGCAGACAGGGTGTATAGACAGGCTGCAGCAGCAGCTCTAGACAAATGCTGCAGCGGAAGTCAAACTCCGTATAAAATGAATCGCCCGACAGCAAATAACTCCCCACACCTCGCCGATTCCTCTTGCTGCTGCTCTTCCTGTTCCTGCTGCTGCTGCTGCTGCTGCTGCTGCTGCTGCTGTTGCGAGGCACCAGCCGCAGCTTCCGCATGCAGCAGCTGTTTAAAAGCTGCAGTGTCTGCTGCTGCAGCTCCGGCCGTTCCGGCGCTACAAGGCCACCGTTGCTGCTGCTGCTGCTGCTGCTACCGCGCAGCAGCAGCAGCAGGGCCCCCAACCCCGCATCTGATGACAGCAGCAAAGGAGACAAACCATTACGCAGATATGAAGCAGCAGCAGCAGCAGAACCTGATCCGCTGCCGCTTCGCAGGGACAGTCGCTGCGCTTGCTGCCTCAAATGGCTGCTCAGCACGGGCTCCTGCAGCACAGCAGCAACAGCAGCAGCAGCAACAGCAGCAGCAATAACAGCAGCAGCAGCAAAAGCAACGGCAGTAGCAGCGGCAGCAGCAGCGCAGGGCGACTCATAATGACAAACACATCTCTCTCCTCCAAACTTATTCCCTTCCCTACTGTATCTGCCACTGCTGCTGCTGCTGCTCTTGCTGCTTCTGCTGCTGCTGCTGCTGCTGCTGCTGCTTACTGTTAGGATTGCACGAGAGGCCATTGAGGCTGCGCTTTGGGCCCCTGATCCTGCTGCAGAGCTGCGCAGCAAGGCAGAAAACATCGGATGCCGCTGCTGCTGCTGCTGCTCCTGCTGTTGCTGCTGCTGCTGCTGTGGCTGCTGCTGCTGCTGTGGCTGCTGCTGCTGCTGCTGTGGCTGCTGCTGCTGCGTCCCTGTCTCCGCACCAACCTGCCTAGGCCCGCCCAGGCCTTGCTGCCGCTGCTGCATGTTGTCTGCAGCAGCAGCAGCAGCAATTGTTGATTGAGGGATGCGGCTTGCGGGGTGTCTCCTGCTAGGCAATGCGCTTGCTGCTGGTGCTGCTGCTCTCCCTTCTGTAGCTGCAGCGGCAGCATCAGCAGCAGCAGCAGCTGCTGCTGCTGGGAACTCGCGGCTCATCCTTGGCGCATGTGGGGTATTGCTGAGTGCAGAAGAGCTGCTGCTGCTGCTGCTGCTGCTGCTGTTTCTACTCTCAGCCACTGTTGCGCCTTGGACGGCTTGCTGATGCTGCTGCTGCTGCTGCTGCTGCAGCTGACGGCGAGGCCTGTGTCTGCGGGAGAAGGTTGTCTGCAGCAACAGATGCTGCTGCGGCTGCTGGTGCCTCTGCCGCTGTTGTTGTTGTTGCCGCTGCTGCTGCTGCTGCTGCTCCGATGCCTGCGGAGACCCTGGAAGGCTCATGGTTGAGAGGAGGGCTGCTGCAGCAGTGGGAAGCAGCGGCAGCAGCAGCCACTGCAGCAGCAGCAGCAGCTACTCCAACAACTACACTGTGAAGTGCTGCAGCAGCAACACTAGCGGCCGCCAGAGCCAAATGAGGCACCAGGTGGTCGCCGCGAGACCCTCGTGCTGCTGCTGCTGCTGCTGTTGCTGCTCTTGCTGCTGTTGTTGCTGCTGCGCCCTTTGTAAGAAGGATGCAGGAGAAGCAACAAACTAGAAGACAGTTAAAGGAAGATGCAGCAGCAGCAGTTGCTGCTGCTGCTGCTGCTGCTGTCTGTCTGTCTGTCTGTCCAGCTGGCGAGGCGTCGGTCAGCTGCGCACGCAATGCAGCAGCAGCAGCAGCAGCAACAGCAACAGCAGCAGCAATCGCTTGCCTTCTACATATCTCAAGCACTTAAAATAACCCTTGAAGCTAACAGAGACAAAAAAACAATCTTCTCCTTGCGCTTTGCTGCAGCAGCAGCAACAACGGCCTGCACTTCCCTTCTCGCTGCCGTCAGCAGCAGCAGCAGCAGCAGCAGCAGCTGCTGCTGCTGCTGCTGCTGATTATGATAGCAGCAATACGTATCAGCAGCGTAGAGTAATTGCTCTTAATGCTTCCTCAGATTAAAAAATATATAAAAATACACAAAAAGAAATACTACACACCAAACAAAAACAGTCGTTGCAGCGCGTTTGAGGTGTACGGGCAGCCTGCAGACAGCAGCAACAGCAGCCGCTGCTGCTGCTGCTGCTGCTGCTGCTGCTGGTGATCGGGGTGGCTGCTAGGAGGGGGGCAGCAAGACAGCAGCAGCAGCAATACAGAAATGCATCTTCTTTTGTGTATGAGTTTTAAAGCTTTTAATATCTCTTATTGCTGCAGCAGCAGATAGGAGGGGCACGACAGCACCTGCTGCTGCTGCTGCTGCTGCAGCCGCCGACTGCTGCTGCAGCAGCAGCAGCAGAAGCAACTAAGGAAGTCCCATTAAATGCAAAGACAGCTCTACGCTGTCTTGCTGCTCTGTTAAGCGTAGGTACTCTCTCCAGCAACTGCAACAACTGCAACAGCAACTGCAGCAGCAGCTGCAGCAGTAGCAGCAGCAGCAGACAGGGCGTGCCACGGAGCGGCAGGCCGTGCTAGAGCACTCGAGCAGTTGCTGCAGCAGCAGTAGCAGCAAAACAGCATCGGCCGCTCCTCAAAAACAATAAAATAGGAGTAGCAACGGCAGCGGCATCAGCAGCCCGCAGCAGCAGCAGCAGCAACGGCATGCATGCTGGCAACTGCAGCAGCAGCAGCAGTAGCAGCAGCAGCAGCAGTTGGCGTGCAGCGCACTAGAGCAGCCAAGGCTGCAGAAGCAACAGGTGCAGCTGCAACAGCTGCAGCAGCAACTGTCCCAGCAGCAGCAACGAGACGATTAACAGCAACAGCGGCAGCAGCTGCAGCAGCAGCAGCAGTAGAAGCGCGTTTAGCAGCAGCATCTGTCTCCAGGAGACCCGAGAAAATGGCTGTGCACAGAAGCAGGCTGCAGGTTGCTGCAGCAACAGTGCTGTTGTGTTGG